GCGATGAATCCCATTAAAACAAAAAACAACAACAAAAAATATATTTATGTTGGCTGATTCAAATGGCAGCTCTAAGAAACAAAATATGCAGCTGCAAAAATAGTTGAAATTATGGAAAGACAAATACTGTCTTTGATGATCAAAATTTACTTTCCAATTCAAAATTATACTTGGGATACAGACTCAAGTTTTCTAGCACAGAAGTGACAGTACATTGGCTCAAAAGTAAAATATATTTGATAAGTAAAATATATTTTATATATGCATCAAAATTTAATATACCTAGTGTTAAGATCCTACTAGTGTATTTAAAAAAATGCTAACAGTGGATCTGAGATAGTTGTTATGCACAGGCAGAATTAATTACAAGCCTTATTTCATAACGTAAAAGAAGGCTCTGATGAAAATATTTTAGATATTTCTCAACAGTCATGAAATTTAAAGTTTTTTTATCCTAAGCTGTCAGTTTATACATGCTTCTCTAAACAATGAAGCAATAGATCCTATCACAAATAAAGATTAGCACATAAATATTCATGTAGGGAAATGTAATGAAACATTTTCTATTAAAAATGATTGTAAGGCCCTGGCTGATTTGGCTCAGCTGTTACAGTGCTGGCCCCAAGCACTGAAGGGTCACAGGTTCGATTCCTGCTCAAGGGTAAATACCTGGGTTACAGATTGGATACCAAGCTCCAGTTGGGACATGTGTAGAAGGCAACCAGTCAATGTGTCTCTTTTTCCCACTCTGTCTAAAAATCAACGGAAAAAAATATCCTCAAGTGAGGATTAACAACAACAAAAAATGCATAAATAAAGAGGAAATTACAGCCCAGCAGGTGTGGCTAGGTGGTTGAGCGCTGACCAATGCACCCGCTCGGGGCACACGCCCAGGTTGTGGGCCCTTTCCCCAGTGGGGAGCATGCAGGAGGCAGCCAATTGATGTTTCTATCTCTCTCCCTCTAAAAATCAATAGAAAAAAAAAAAAAGTAAATTACATATGTACCTACTTCAGGATATATTAACTGAATTAGAGTATGAATAAAAATGAGTTTTGAGTTACCTGGCATTGCATATACTGGTATGAAAACAGCACATAAATTTCCATTTATATTAACAGTTGTTGATAACAAGAGCTAAAGATGAAATTCTTTATATGGCAGGCATAGAAAACTACAAGAATCCTAAGTTAATTTAGTTAATATATTTAGTACTGATGTATAATATTAATGCCTAATCAAAAACAGCAAAAAGTGACATTAATAAACTTTAAAAAAAAATGTTTTGATTTTTTAGAAGGAGCGGGAGATAGAAACATGGATGTAAAAAACATCAATCAGCCCTGGCCAGTTTGGTTCAGCGGTTAGAGCGTCGGCCTGCGGTCCTGAGAGACCCGGGTTCGGTTACCGCTAAGGGCGCGTACCTCGGTTGCGGTTTGTCCCCGGCCCTGGTCGGTTGTGCGGATGGCGGCCACTCGATGTGTTCCTTTCACATCGATGTTTCTCTCTCTCTCTCCCTCCCACTCTACCTGAAAAAAAAATGGAAAAATGTCCTCGGGTGAGGATTAAAAAAAACAAAAAAAACATCAATCAGCTGCCTCCTGTACACCCCCTACTGGGGATCAAGCCAGAAACCCAGGCACATGCCCTGACCAGGAGTTGAACCTGGACTTCTCAGTCCATGGGACGATGTTCAACCCACTGAGCCACTCCAGCCGGGCAAGAGATTTATTTAGAGATTCAGTAAGAAAGCCATTTTCTCTTATCTACAATTCTTCCAATCGAATCATCTGTATGTTGCAATCTGGGATTTAAGCAACATCTATAAACACAATCTTGTTTGCTTATAAAAAGAAGTGGTAAACATCACCCTATGGACGTGCAATGTCCTAATTTTCCAGATGTGAAATTAAGACCCAGTGACTTGTTCAAGATCACATGGCTAATTAGCACAAGATTTCAGACTTTGTTTTCTTTAAATCAATAAATATTTTTCCAGTGATTTTCAGATAGGAGGGACGGAGAGGGACGAGAGAGAAACACTGATGTGAGAGGGACACACTGACTGGTTGCCTCCCACATGACCCTGACCAGGGCCGGGGATTGAAATGCAACTGAGGTTCTCTAAACAACTGAGGTTTTCTGATCCTTGACCAGAATCGAACCCACAACTCTTTGGTCTGTGGGCTAACGCTCTAACTGCTGAGCTAAACCAGTTAGGGCAAGATTTTAGACTTTCTAACTACCAGATGGTGTTCTACTATATTGAAATACTTCTGGGCAAATAAATATTTGTTTAAACCAACAAACTATTAGGTACAATATTTAAGAGTTTAGCCCAACAGGAATATAAAACTTTAGCACAAATATGACTGACTTGAAATTAAACCAGATTTATATATTGAAATAAAATACCACATATATAAAATCAGTGGTATCTACCGTGTTGGGTTGGCATTGTATAGAAATTAACAGCCATATTGGTCTAGAAACATTCAACACAATGTTTTTCTATTTACACAGGGGTAACACACTGTAAATATGTAAGGTCTTAAGCTACATGGGTTTGATTTCAGACACTAATAAAGTATTCTCTAAATAATGAAAAAATAAATAATATCAGTGGCATCTTTTGCATTTCCAGATTGTGTTTTATCAAACTTAGATATAACAATCAGAAGTTCAACTTAGCACTGCTAAGTCTGGGTACATCCAAACTTTGTTAATTTGTATGAAATTTCATATATAATAGTAATATATATATATTACTAGAATTAATTTAATCATTCTTCAAACTTTAACAGCAATTTCATTATTTCTCAGAATATTTACACTCTTTTGAAAGAATAATCATTGATAAAGTTAGCAAAGTGATTCACTAAGATGACAAGTCCATGAACAGCAAGATGTCTCTAAATGTATCTCTCTTGTAATATGAGTTGAATTTACTGCTTACAGTAAATTGTATTTCTCAATATCAAGATCCTTCAAAAGAAGACTGTTATCTGTCAGTAATAATTAAAGATAAGCAATCTAGAAAGTATAAAATAATCTAGACAGTACAAAAATGAAATATTAACTGAGTAAAACAGAGGATTTTGTGATATTTTCTGTGCAGAAAAAAAGTATTAAGGAAACTTGCACATAATTTAAAAAATAAACTAATTACCAAGTATCAGAAAGCTGGTCAAGTTTCCATGCTATATAAAATTACCTCTTAAATTTAACCAAATAAAAATCCCTGCTTTTCAATCATATGGCAAGATGTCCTGAAGCAAATAGTTTCATGAATCCTCAGAAAAAAAGAAAAATTAAGCTAAAAAGATCAAACACCAAGTGTTCATCAAACCTTTCAGTCAACAGAGCCTTTATTAACATGCAAGTATCATTTGCCACAAGATATACAAGTTTTCCTAATCTTTCGGTTCTTTTCCAATATTTTAACTTAAGGTTACTTATGCATCTAACATAAAAAGTAACCTACTAAAATTGGTCAAAGTTAAACTTGATTCTAGCTATCACCTTAACCTTTAAGATTATTACTTAGGTTTATAATTGACATTATTGTCATCAAGTAGAAGAATTCTTGTACTTGATAATCTTCTATACTAAAATATCTACCAGTATGTCTTAAGAAGTTACTAAAATATACGCAAGTAACATATATATATGTGTGTGTGTGTATATATATATATATATATATATCTAACTGCTTTCAATAAGTTGGAAAGTACAATGTTAAGTCTTCTGAGAGGAAAATTACTTATAGATCTTGGTTGTTTATAGTTTTGCAGTTTCCAGAAAATCTGGTCCATATTAAACCAGTCTTGAAGAACTAAGTTGAAAACTTGTTTATAGATCCTAACAACAGCTTTGATTCACTAAGATAGAAACAATAATAAACCAACTATAGTGCTTTAGTTACCGTGCCTAAGCAGAGATGCTCTAATAGTTTTTCAAAACTTTCTGTCTGCTTAGTATAAAAGTTGAATGACCTCTTTACTAGTGAGATTTCAGTAGAAGACCCACAGATGATGGGCATATTTATTGGGATATTTTAATTAACAGAAGATAATTCATAGACTCTACCAAAGTGCATTAAGATTTGCACTGCATCTCTCCATATTTGTCATATTTTATAACATTTCAGGTAGATGCAGGAAGACTGGAATAGTTCAGAAAAGTCTAGCTTTTAAGATCTGGGTCAAGTTCATAGTGAATCTTTTAAAACATTAAATAACCAGAAGTATAATCACAACAAGGAACTATGTAAGAAGAATGAATATTGCAAAGGAAGCTTTATAGTCAATGAAAATACAGTACTTTGGATTGGCCAAAATGCACAGTACACATGAAATCAAGGTCATGTAGTTTACTTATTGATCATGTGGCTACAGTTCAAAAAGTCACTGTTCCAACAGCCGTACCTGGTAATCTTCCAAATTGCTTTTAAATAAAGTTCTTAAATTGTAGCGATGAACAAAAAGACAAGATACACTTAAACAATACTGCAGTTTATCAAAAGACACATAAGAAATTTCAACTCTTATGTCTTTGACAGTTATAAAAATCAATATTTGGCTAAGTTATAAACATGTTTATAATGCAATTATTTGCATACTTCTAGTAATGCTAATGACGGCTATAAGATCAGAAGAGGTTTAAAAAAAAAACAAACACTAAAAACATAAAAATACGTAGCCCCAATATTTACCTGTAGAATATGTTCATTTATGACTAAATTTCAGCATCTACTATATCAACACCGTTCTAATTTTAAAAATCACATCCAAAGGATAAGGCAAAACTACCTAGGAACTGACATATTTGTTTATTTCTCAATTTGTGAAAATGTCCTTAATCTGTTGATGTAGCAAACAAATTTCAACTCTGCTATGCAAAAGAAGAGACGATAGTCTGCTTTGCAATGAACTGTAAAGTTCAATTGCACACAGGCAACATGCTATATATGAAAAAATTACTAACTGAACTACAGGTATTAAATACTGAAAAAAGTTAACAGTTTATTATAATTTATTTTATTTAACAATCTAGGAAGTTCGCAGCCATCAGCAGTTCCAGTGCAATTTCAGGTGCAATTGGGAATTCAGGAATCTCCGTGGAGCTGTTAGTGTAGCGAACCTTGTAAGTAAAATACATGCATACTTTTGATAGCACATGTGAAGGGATCTCTCTAAAATTGACTTCATTAGTTTCGTTCTCAGCAAACTGACCTATAAAAGAAAAAAAGGTTTGTTTGTTATGGGCTGAGTTGTGTTCCTCCAAAATTTATGTTGAAGTCCTTAACACCCAGCACTTCAGAATGTGACTGTATCTGGAGATGTTCCCCCCGCTGTTCAGGAAGCATTTTAAATATGAAATGCTTCACGAATTTGCACATCATCCTTGCACAGGGGCCATGCTATCGTACCAATTTTAGTATACTGTACTGCCATACTGAGCATGGAGATAAGGTCTTTAAAGAGGTAATTAAGGCAAAACAGGGTTATTAAGGTGGGTCCTAATTTGGTATGACTGGTATCTTTATAAGAAAAGGAGATTAGGTCACAGACACAAACAGAGGGAAGACAATGTGAAGACAAAGGGAGAAGAAGGCCACCTAGGAGACAAGCCTCAGAAGAAACCAACCCTGCTAACACCATGATCTCGACTTTCTACCAGGACCATAAAAAGGAAATTTCTGTTGTCCAAATCACCCAGTCTATGGCACTTTGTCATGGCAGCCTACACATTATTACAATGTAAAAAAAATACACCCGCCCTAGCCAGTTTGGCTCAGTGGTTAGAGTGTCTGCCTACGGTCAAGAGAGACCTGGGTTCGGTTCCCAATAAGGGCATGTACCTTGGTTGCAGTTTGGCCCTGACCCTGGTTGGGTTGTGTGGGTGACAGCCACTCGATGTGTCCCTTTCTTCCTCTCTCTCCCTCCCACTCTATCTGAACAACAACAACAAAAATACACCCAACTAGCAGCAAACAAAATATCTAACTCTGACTTTTGAGTATAAACATAAAAAAGTCTTTATTAAGATAGCATTTGAGCCCTGGCTGGTTTGGATCAGCAGTTTCAGTTAGAGTGTTGGGCAAGGGCACATACTGGGGTTGCAGGTGTGATCCCCTGTCCCAGTTGAGGTCATATGGGAGGCAGCAATTTCTCACATCAATGTTTCTGTTTCTCTATCTCCCCCTCCCTCCCTTCCACTCTATCTTAAAAAAAAAAAAAAAAAAAAAAATCACTGCAAAAATATCCTCTGGTGAGCATTGACAAAACAAACAAACAAAAAAGACAGCATTTATCAAGACTGAATTTTAAAAGTCTGATTTTCTCCCAGAAGTCTGGACACTTAAGGAATTTTTCCTAAGAATCTTGATGGTGGGATTACTGAAGGAATCAAGTCTTCATAGATCATCAGGAGCCCTGTGCTATACTGAATTGCCATGTAAAAATAAGTACGTGAAATACTATTTTAAAAATCTTTTCAGGAAAGAAAATCTGTTTCTCCCTTTAGCTTTTAAAAATATCATTATGTTAATGAGAACTCTTTATTAAGTCACTCCCCTTTATTTAATAACTCTTTAGAAACTATTTTTAGTGATCTCTCAAAATTTCTTTAGCTATATAAAGGTTTTATCATTTAGTATTTATTATAGGGATAAACTATTTTCTTTTTTAAATGAAAACTTTCCATCAACCTTTCTATTTCTTAGAAATAAAATTTTATTTAATAATTAAAAATTGTTTTCATTATTGATTTAAAGAGAGAGGAAGGGAGAGGGAGAGATGGAAACATCGATGAGAGAGAACATCGACTGGCCGCCTTCTGCATGCTCCCCACTGGGGATTTGGCCTACAACCTGGGCATGTGCCCTGACTAGGAATCGAACTGGCAAACTCTTGGTGCATGCAACACTCAACCACTGAGCCACACCGGCCGGGCAGAAGATAAACTATTTTCTTAGCAGTCAAGCACTAGCACTGTGATCTAAATACAAACGCAGAAAAATATACTTTCTGAGAATGTATTTTAAAAGTTTTCTAATAATTGTGTATTTGTTGGGGGGTGGGGTGGGTAGAAAGAAGAGTAGGATTCACCAAATAATTCACAGCAATAGGTAACTTTTGGTTTGTCAATAATGAAAATTTTCTTTCTTGAATAAATGTATAAAATATTACCGATAGGCACTTATTAAATGTTTGAAACTAGACAAACATTAGGGTTAAAAAAAATTTTATGTTAAATATGTTTTAATTCATTTTTTAGAGACAGAGGAAGGGAGAGAGAGATAGAAACATTGATGTGAGAAACACTGGTTGCCTCCTGCACGCCCACTACTGGGGATCGAGCCCACAACCCCAGCATGTGCCCTGACCTGGAATGGAACCAGGACCTCAAAGTCCACGGGAGGATACTCAATCCACTTAGCCACACCAGCCTGGCCAAACATTAGGGTTTTAAAAAAATTTTTTGTTGTTGACACTATTGCAAATGTCTCCCTTAAAAAATTGTTTTTGTTAATTTTTGTTACAGATGTTTCTCCTTTTCCCCCCACTGGTACCCCTCCCCCACCCTCCTCGCCCTCTCCCCAGCTTTGTTGTCCATGTCCACTGTTCATGCATACATACATATAAGTTCTGTGGTTTCTCTCTACCCCCCACCCCCTCTCCTGGGGATTGTCAGTCTGTACCCCACTTCCACGTCTCTGGGACTACCCCGTTCCTCAGACTGTTATGTTCATTATATTCCATAAATAAGTGAGATCATATAATATTTGTCTTTCTCTGCTTGGCTTGTTTCGCTTAAGATAATACTCTCCAGGTCCCTCCATGTCGCCTCAAAGGATAAGAGATCTTTCTTTCTTACCACTGCGTAGTACTCCATTGTGTACATGTACCACTGCTTTTTTTATCCATTCGTATACTGATGGACACTTGGGCTGTTTCAAGATCTTAGCTATTGTAAATAGTGCTGTTATGAACACGGGGGTACATATATTCTTTCTGATTGGTGTTTTAGGCTTCTTACGGTATATTCCTAGAAGTGGGATCACTGGGTCAAATGGAAGTTCAATTTTTAATTTTTTGAGGTAACACCATATTGTTTTCCATAGTGGCTGCACCAGTCTGCATTCCCACCAGCAGTGTACTAGAGTCCCCTTTTCTCCACACCCTCACCAACACTTGTTGTTTGATGATTTGTTGATGGTGGCCATTCTGACAGGTGTAAGGTGATACCTCATAGTTGTTTTAATTTGCATCTCTCTGATGATTAGTGATGCTGAGCATTTCTTCATATGTCTCTTGGCCATTTGTATGTCTATTTAGTTCCTCTGCCCCCCAACCTCTACTTTCTGTCACACCAATCTACTTTCTATCTCTATGGATTTATCTGTTCTGGATATTTCATACAAATGGAATCATACAACATATGACCTTTTGTGACTGGCTTCTTTCACTTAGCGTAACATTTTGAAGGTGTGTCCATGGTGTAGCACGTATCACTATGCCATTTCTTTTTATGCAAACATCAGTTTTGGGCTGAAAGTTTGATCTTCAAGATAAGGCTCTTATTTTTATTGTTTTTATTTTTGTATATTTGTTGAGCTCTTATTTTTAAATTAAAAGAGACCAAGCATGCAAACAGCAAAAATTCTTTCATTTTAAGTTTAAACTAAAATTTTCTTGGCGTTCATGATTTTTATCTATGTCTAGTAGAAAAGTCTTAAAGTAATTCAACCCAGGAGCAACAAGTCCTGCTGGCAACCCAGAGTGGGGTCCCTAAATACTATTTCCCATTAAAAGAAACCAGGGCTTGCCCTGGCTGGTGTGGCTCAGTTGGTTGGAGCATCATCCAGTACATCGAAAGGTGAAGGGTTCAATTCCTGGTCAGAGCACATACCCACCCAGGTTGCGAGTTCGATCCCCAGTTGGGGCACACACAGGAGGCAATTGATTGATGTTTCTCTCTCTCTTAAAAAAAAAAAAAAAAATCCGTAAAAACATGTCCTCAGTTGAGGATTAAAAAACAAGAAATCAGGGCTTGAAAAAATGGCTGTCCCCGCCACCCTGCTTTTTTTAAGTCTTCTTTCCCTACTGATTCTAGAGAGAAGAAGGGAGAGGGAGAGACAGAAACATCAATGAGAGAGAACATCAATTGGCTACCTCCTGCATGCCCCCCACTGGGGCCGGGCATGTGCCCTGACTGAGCATTGAACTGGTGACCTCTTGGTTGAAAAGTGGTTGTTTTCAAAACTTATAAATAACACACAAATGAGCCAGAGAACTTTTGGTATTACATAAGGTAGTATCGTTATCCAAGACCAATGAAACCATGTCAAAAGGACACAGGAGTCAACATGAGGTGGTTCCTTCTGGTATAAAAATGAGCAATCTGAGCACCAGTGAGAATGACTGCACCGGATTAAAAATCACCATATATATAAAGTCATGAGCTGATGATATACAAAAACAAACAAACAAAACCTCCAAAACACCCTTTGTTACTGGAGGATGCTGGAGGACCCATTCATTACTCTGAAAGATTATATGTATATATACAATCAGTATTTAGTCTTTTCTGTCCTGTATAGACTGTATTTCAGGGTAGTCAAATAGTTCTTTAAAGGATTAAGTCTAATTAATAAATGTAGAAGAAATTATGCAATTAGAAAATCACTGTTCTGTAATTCCAAATGAAGTACATCTCGGCTATAATCACAATGAATGCTAAAACCATTATATGAAAGTCCGACTGGGGAACGCTTCATGGATGAATGAACCTGATAACCCTGGAATCACTAATCAGTCTTGACATTGCTAAAAGATGTGTTACAATAGGATACAATAGTGCCACCTATGAAGTATTCTAGCCTAGTGAAATGAACGATTCTAATCAAGCCTCTGTAGTTCTAATTATGAGTTTATAAGATGGGATGTGGACATTATATAAATAACCTTGTTTCTTTGTAAAACTGATGATCTGGGAAAAAGGGAGGGGAGAGGGGGACTATCAAAGATTTTGTAAGTGAAATGACAATGTAAGGGATTTGCTTAAAATACTCTTAAAAATTTTTTTTCTTTATTGATTTTAGAGAGAGGGGAAGGGAGAGGGAGAGAGAAACATCGATTGGCTGCCTCCTCCTGCACAGCCCTCACAGGGGATCGGCCTGCAATCTGGGCATGTGCCCTGACCGGGAATCAAAGCAGTGACCTCTTGGTGCATGGGTCGATGCTCAACCACTGAGCCTCACCAGCCAGGCTTGAAATGTTTTTTAAAAAGTGAGAATAATAGATAAAACAAGATAATATAGAAAACGAATTGCAAGGGACCCCAAACAGCCAAAACAATCTTGAAAAATATAGTTGGAGGCTTCACACTTCTCAATTTCAAAACTTACTACAAAGCTACAGTAATCAAACAGTTTGGTACTGAGTAAGGATATATAGCTCAATAGAAGAGAATTAAGAGCCCAGAAATAAACGCACACATCTGTGGTCAACTGATTTTCAACAAGGGTGCCAAGACCATTTAACAGGGTCAAGAATGGTTTCTTCAACAAATGATACTGGTATGTCCACATGTGAACAAAGTTAAATGTACAAAAATTAACATAAAATCAAACCATGTATAAAAATTAACATAAAATAAAAGACCTAACTGTAAGAGCTAAAATCATAGAAACCTCATAAGAAAACATAAGGGGTAAATCTTCACAACATTGGATTTGTCAATGGATTTTTAGACAGGCCTCCAAAAAACACAAACACCAACAGGGATAAAAGATCAATATTGGGCTTCGTCAACATAAAAAACGTTTGTTCATCAGAAGATACCATTAAGAAAAAGACAACCTACAGAATGGGAGAAAATATTAGCAAGTCATGTAACTGATAAGAATCCAATGTGCAGAGTATATTAAAAAACTCTTACAATTCAACAACAGAAAAGACAAATAACCCAATTAAAAAGTAGGCAATAGACTTAAAGAGACATTTCTCCAGAGGATACACAAATAGCCAGCAAGCACATGAAGAGATATTCAACATCGTTAGTCATTAGGGAAATGCTAATCAAAACCACAATGACATACCACTCATACCCATTAGGGTGGCTAGAATAAAAAAACTGCAAACAAAAAGTGTCAAGTGAGGATGTGGAGAAAACCACACGAGGAACCCTCATACACTGCTGGTAGGGATATAAATGGTTCAGCCACTGTGCAAAGTGTGGCATTTCCTCCAAGAGTTAAACATAGAAATTACCATATGTTCCAGAAATTCCAATCCCCAAGAAAATTGTTTTTCTTGAGGTAAAAAAATTACCTCAGAGAAAATGTTAAGAATAGACATTTGGGAGGTGGTAACTTCCAAAGATCAACTTTAGAAGCAGTAGTACAAATGTAACTAGGAGCACAAATCACCAGAGGCCTGTGTTGTGTTGAAGAAGCTGACCATGGAAACTAACCTAGGGACATGATCCTTCCTATTACACAATAACCAACGGGGTATTGAAACTAGGACAAATAGCTGAAAACAGGATATGGCAGAAACCATCTTTTCCTCAATGCAACATAATTATGCAATGTTCAAATAGTTACTGTCTCTTTTAAATGTTATGAGTCATTTAATTCAACCTAAAAATACATTCATCACACATTAAAAGTGAAGATATATGAAGAGAAAATAAAGAAATGTTCCCACCTGGGCCACTCAACATGGCTTTTATTGTTCCTGATGTCAATGCATGTTCTCTTTTTACAATAAATTCATGACCATCTGAAGATATCAATTTGACATACATGGCATCAGGGCCTTCACAGCCACCATAGGTTTTCTCTTCTCCATCTAAAGTAAAGTAGTAAAATGATTTCTGAATCACACAACTTATTATCAATAAACATGTATACCAAGGTTAATATCTGAGAAACTCAGACCAGAAAGATTTTGGGGGGAAACAGCTACCAAAATTTTATTTTTTAACTTCTTATTATTTTCTACACATTTTCCAATGTCAGAATATACTCTACATTCAAGTATGTTTCTCTGGATGAAAATTTACCAGTATTTTTAAGGAAGTATTGACAATATTTTTGTGACATTCAAATTTAAGGACTGGAACAAAATATTCAAATAGTAAATCTTTAGCCCTGGCCATTGTGGCTCAATTTGTTGGAGTGTCATCCCATATACCAAAGGTTGCCAGTTCGACCGGCTGGTGTAGCTCACAGGATTGGGCGTAGTCCTATGGACTGAGAGGTCCTGGTTCGATTCCCGGTCAGGGCACATGCCCGGGTTGTGGGCTGGATCCCCAGTAGGGGGTGTGTAGGAGGTAGCCGATCAATGTTTCTCTTTCACATCAATGTTTCTATCTCTCCCTTTCCTCTCTCTCTAAAAATTAATAAAACAAAAATTCTTTAAAAAAACTGTAATTCTATCACCCGAAATGCTCATTTTAAAAATAAGATGCATAGTGTGTTTATGCATGAATGTTTATTTGCCATGTGACCTCAACTTCTGACAAGCCCAAATTATAAATGTTAGGGCTTCCTTTACTCAGCATTTTACTCTTCATTCATAATAATTATCAAAATATTTTATTGCTTAGTTTAAATTATTGTGCAATGAATACAGACAAATGTCAGTCTTTAAACACTGAAAGTAGAGGTGAAGAGACACAGTGCATAGATGTCACCTGCTACCAGCTATCCCCACTGCCACCATGCTGGCTTCAGCCACAGTGGCTATCTCGATATAACTCTCTGGGGAGTATATATATTTATATATCCCTTTAAGATCTTCCTCATATGTATAACTTTTACAGTGTTGAACTGACAGAATTTTTATTTTTATGGTTACTAGCATCTGAAAGAAAGTTTCATATGGCTCATTCTAAAAATGTAGGGAGCCCTAGAGAGAAGTACAGAGGATGAGGCTCAAGTAATGTTCAGCTACTAACATCCATTTATTCATTTATTACCTGAAAGTTAATTTAGAACTCCCTAAAATGAAGAATAAGAAATATAAAAATCACAAATGTACAAATGCTCCCTAAAATGTTATCTGAATATATTAAGAGAAAATACTGAGACAAACTTAAATTTTAAAATGCCATAAAAGACTTCATTCCTCACCCCCACCTCCAGGTAGGGAACTGTTTAAGGGAGACTAAAGAGACAAATTAAGGTAGTAAGTAATCTCTGATTAGATCCTGGATTTAAAATAATAAAGGTGTTATAAAGAACACTTGAAACAACTGAAAAACTGAATAGGACTGAATGCATGCTGACCTATTTAGGTGTGTACAACTAAATCTTAAAGGATAAAAAAAGCATTTTTTTTGGTTTATGTGTGTATATATGTATGTATATGGGTATATGCGTGTATATAAACAACACACACACACACACACACACACACACACAGAGGGAAAGCAAATGTGGCAAAACAGTAACAACTGATAAAGGCTATTATTATTGCGATTTCTCATTACAAAAAGCTGGAGGACTTGTAAAGATGCAAGAAACTTCTAAATTATGGACTATGCAAGCATATAGATTCTTAGCAGTTTTTGCCAATCTCTGAGAACAAAAATACAAATACTTATCAATTATTTAAATTTATACTTCTAGTATTTTTTGCAAGCTAAACCATTTTATATGTCTGTTGGAAAAGTTTCTAATATTTTAAGGTACAATTACTCATTAGGAATCACAAATTTTATTTGGTACAATAACATTACTGATCTCTTTTGAGATATACAGTAAACACAAGCTGTTGATCTAAACAACTACTTGCAGTCTACTCTGACCATTTTCTAACTTGCATTTGTATTCACTGACATCGAAGGCCTGTCTTCTAGAGGAAAAACCAGCTCCTACTACTTGAAGTACTTACCCAATATTTTCTTATGAAACTTACCCATTATGTTCTTATGAAATTCTACTTCGCTTCCACAGGAAGTTTAGTAGTTTCCTGAAAATATAACAATGCTATATTAAGTCTAATGCTGAAATGACATGTTTTTCACCCATTATTATTTAATATGTCCTTGGTGTTACAAGTTTAAGGACTCTCTCTGCTAAGCAAGAATTTCCTAGTCACCACAATATGGAACAGTATCAAGTTTTTGAACATCTGAGAAAAGATGATCACCTCCAGGACAAAAGTCAAAATACAGATGTATTTATTTATTTTCTTTAAGGCAATTATTCTGACAACAGTTTAAAAATATAGATGCTGTTCGTTAGGACCTAAACTGAACTTGGAAGACATCCTTGGCCTTGATCATCTTCATATATATACCATATGCACTTGATACTGGTAGACACTAAAATATTTGCTGAATGAATGACAACATGATAAATCCAAGGACATGAAGTACCTTTTCTTATGTAAACATGCACATCAATAATACATCTTACTGTTTCATCCCTTCTGCGTATAGGCTATCAAAGTTTTGAAATTTAACAGTAGAGTGGTAAAAATTTATAATTTTTTGAGAAATCTTAAATTTTACAAAAAGAGGTGATTACTAAACAATAAGGGCTCATGTTTTCAGTAATTCTTATTTTTTTAATTTTAATTTTTGTTAATCCTTACCCAAGGATATTTTTTCCATTGATTTTTAGAGAGAGTGGAAGGGAGGGAGAGAGAGAGACATCGATGTGAGAGAGACACATTGATCGGTTGCCTCCCATATGCATCCCAACCCAGGTAGGGGATCAAACCTACAACCCAGGTAGGCACTCTTTTTCTTGAAATAAAAAAAATTTTTTAATCTTTATTGTTGAATGTATTACAGATGTTCCTCATCCCCTGCCCCCGACTCCCTCCTCCCCACTCCCGCCCCCAGGTAGGCATTCTTGATCAGGAATCGAACCCTTGACCCTTCAGTTCTCGGGCTGATGCTCTAACCATTGAACAAAATGTCCAGAGCATTCAGTAATTTGTATTTTAATAGCATTTCTTCAAATGAGGATTTTATTAATATCAATACTATTTTTTTTTTTTTTATCCTCACCCGAGGACATTTTTCCATTTTTTGTGCAGATAGAGTGGGAGGGAGAGAGAGGAAGAGAGAGAGAGAGAAACATTGACGTGAAAGGGACACATCGAGTGGCTGCCACCCGCACGACCAACCAGGGCCGGGGACAAACTGCAACCGAAGTACGTGCCCTTAGCGGGAACCGAACCCTGGTCTCTCCGGACCGCAGGCCGATGCTCTAACCGCTGAGCCAAACCGGCCAGGGCATCAATACTATTTTTAATGTCACTATTAGGAAAACAGCATATACTTATTATCCTTTTCTCTAAGAAATTCCTGGCTAATATTTTAATTCTAGCCTTAAGGGGAGGGTCAAGAGAATAAAGCACAACATTTTAGAGCAAGAAAGGAACTTGGAGATAACCTAAGTCATCCTCACCATAAAAAACGGTAACATAACTGATGTATAGAGAGGATGAGTGACTTGTTCCAGGTGGTGATGAGTGAAGCAGAAATCAACTCTTAGCCTAAAACACTCAGTAAGCACGAGGGAGATATTTAAAATACTGTTTCTAACGTGAGATTGGGCAGCAGAGGCAATGTAGCATTACTACCAACAATTTGAGGGCCTGGTACGTGGTAAACATTGCATTAAATGCTGTATATACGTTGTCTTATTTTAAAGTGACATTTTCACAAAGAAATTATTGTTCCCATTTTAAAGGCGAGGAAACACTCAGAGGCTGCTCCTTGCTCAAGGTTCCCACAGCTTAAGTGGCAGCCTGAGGATTTAAACCTAGGTAGGTAGGCTTTATAGCCCACACTCCCTTCAATTATTCCATACTGCCCTGGTAAAACACTGTGGGTCCAGTTAAAACTTCTTATCCACTTATGCTGAGAGCTGCTGATATATTTCCTTGGATTATTTTCTAAAACTTTTATAAAAACAGTATTATGTCATTTTATGATAATAATAGTAGGCAATTAAAAATTAATCAGTCACACCCTGGCCGGTGTGGCTCAGTTGGGTGGAAATCATCCCATGCACTGAAAGGTTGCCAATTCGATTCCAGGTCAGGGCACATGCCTGGGTTTCCAGCTCCATCCCCAGTAGGGGGCAGCCTATCGATTTCTCTCTCCCTCCCTCCGTTTCTCTCTCTAAAAAGCAATAAAAAATATTTTTAAAAAAATCAATCCATCGTTATTTTCTTCTGTTCGCACAGCTTTGTAATCATTCTTCTAAAAAACAAAACTGGACAAAACGCTTAGAAAAGCGAGAAGAACAAGAATTTCAAGTACCAACTTTTCTATCTGGAAAATTTTCAGAGCAAAATATCTAGAATGTTTACTTAACTAGCAGCAACTAGGCAACCGTGCAAAGACGTCATAGAAGCCCTTTGGGTAGCAACATTTTCTCCACAGACTTCTTAATATAGTAAGTCAATTCCAGCATTTATTCACGGGTTAAAGGGAAAGGGGGAAGACTCCTCATCACTAACAAAGAGAGTATATCATTAAGAACTAAGAGCAAATCCTAATTCCTAGAAAGCTAAAAATATTTTAAATATGATTAAATTTGGACTTAACCCACAAATGACCTATAGAAATCTAAGTTTAGGGTAGCAAAAATCTCAGTCTGAACACTTGAGCATGTCTCCATAACGGGGCTGAGTCCTGGAAATATGAATTAGGAGGCAAAGCAAGTGGTCGAGGAGCAGTGGGCTGAGAGTAGGTCTAGGCAGAAGAGGCGGTGTGAACAAAGGCCTGACGGAAATGGCACTGTGCTCTAGTTACATGAATACTGAAAAGGCCATCCTATTACTGATCTGAAATTTTACCTTTTTCATATACTATATTGCTACAGTACATGGATTTCTAGATTACATTCTGTTCCTTCAACCTATTTATACCTGATCAATATCCCCACTGTTTTAATTACAACAGCCTGATAAACATGTTTTGCTAGCCCTGGTCTGTGTGGCTCAGTTGGTTGGGCAACATCCAGTGCACTGAAAGGTTGCTGGTTGGATTCCCAGTCAAGGCACATGCCTGGGTTGCAGGCTCCAACCCCAGCAGGGGGCGTGCAGTCGGCAGCCGATTGATGTTTCTCACATTGATGTTTCTCTTTCCGTCTCCAAAAATCAATGAACTATTTTTTTTTGGGGGGGGGGTACATGCCCCTAGCGGGAGCTGAACCTGGGACTCTCTGGTCCACAGGACGATGCTCCGACCGCTGAGCTAAACCAGCCAGGGCTCGATGAATTATTCTTAAAAAACAACAAAAAGTGTTTTGCTCAATGGTTGGGCAATTCCCTTTTTGTTAGGTCTACTTTTGGGTATAGTTTCTATTATGAATAGGATCTGCTTCCCTATTATACTTTCTGAAAGGTTATTGCTGGCATTTTTTAAAAAACTTTTAAATTCAGCTGATCTTGTATCCCATCCCACCATCTTTGTAGACTCTCACAGTTCTAGTTGTTTTTCAGTTATTTGCTTGGATTATTTAAGTAGGATTATAGCAATAGCTGCAAACCTGTACTTTGTATCTTTTTCTTTGGTTTTATTCCTCACCTGAGAATATTTGTCTACTTATTATCAGAGTGGGAGGGAGGGAGGGAGGGAGGGAGGGAGGGAGGGAGAGAAACATCGAAGTGATAAAGCCACATGGACTGGTTGCCTCCCACAAGACCTGAACAGGGCTGGAGACAAACCGAAACCGAGGTTCGTGCCCTTGACCGGAATCAAACACGTGATGCACTGGACTGTGGGCCAACACTCTAACCACTGAGCCAAACCAGCCAGGGCTGTTTGTTTGTTTTACACTGGATATTTACTTGGAAAAAATGTTAGATGTCTGGCATTACTCACAAAACACACTGCAGGTTAAAGTACCAAATGTAAAAACACCACTCTGGAAAATGGCTGAAAAAATACACAAATGGTTCACAGACCTTTAAAAAATGCTCGGTCTCGCCCTGGCCGGTTTGGCTCAGCGGTTAGAGCGTCGACCTGCGGTCCGGAGAAACCTGGGTTCGGTTCCCGCTAAGTACTTCGGTTGCAGTTTGTCCCCGGCCCTGGTTGGTCGTGCGGGTGGCAGCCACTCGATGTGTCCCTTCACGTCGATGTTTCTCTCTCTCTCCCCCTCCCACTCTATCTGTACAAAATATGGAAAAATATCCTCAGGTGAGGATAAAAAAAAAAAAAAAAGCTCGGTCTCAACAGTTAGCAGTTAAAATGCAAACCTAAATATTCAAACTTGCTAAGAATCAGTGTTGGAGGGGAGGGGAAATGGGTGATACCACATAAAGAACAAACTGGTTTTGGAAGGCAGCAGCAGAATCGTTAGGAAGGTAGCAGTTCTTGGTATCTACTTTAGATTAACCCCAGCATCATGTGCAAAGGCATGTAGGTTCTTTACTATAATATGTGTACAAATGAAAAACTGAAAATACCCTGAAAGGTTCACCAATTAGGGAATGAGTTCAATAAAAACAGTACATCTGTACTTATAAAATGTTATAGGGCAGTGAAAAGGAAAAAGTTATATCTCTATTTTTAATGACATGGAAATAACAAGATAAACTTTTTAGAAAATTTTTTCAGTTACAGTTCACATTCAATATTATTTTGTATAAGTTTCAGGTGTATGGCATAGCAGTTAGACAATTATATACTTTACAAAGTATTCCCCCTGATATTTCCAGTACGTACCTACCTGGTACCATACACAGTTATTACAATACTATTGACTATATTCCCTCTGCTGTACTTTATATCCCTGTGCCAAGATAAACTGTTTATTTTTATCCTCACCCAAGGATATTTTTGCATTTATCTTCAGATAGAGTGGGAGGGAGAGAGAGGGAAAGAGAGAGAGAGAAGTATTGAGGCAGAGAGACACATCGACTGGCTGCCTCCTGCACAACCCTGACGAGGGCCAACCGCAACCCAGGTACGTGCCCTTGAGTGGAATTGAACCTGCAACTCA